TGTTGGATGGGTACCTGCTAATTACCTTTACTGTATAATTTGTGTTACTATCAATTGTCTTGTTTGTTGGAAGGGTACCTGCTAATTACCTTTACTGTATAATTTGTGTTACTATCAATTGTCTTGTTTGTTGGATGGGTACCTGCTAATTACCTTTACTGTATAATTTGTGTTACTATCAATTGTCTTGTTTGTTGGAAGGGTACCTGCTAATTACCTTTACTGTATAATTTGTGTTACTATCAATTGTCTTGTTTGTTGGAAGGGTACCTGCTAATTACCTTTACTGTATAGTTTGTGTTACTATCAATTGTCTTGTTTGTTGGATGGGTACCTGCTAATTACCTTTACTGTATAGTTTGTGTTACTAACAATTGTCTTGTTTGTTGGATGGGTACCTGCTAATTACCTTTACTGTATAATTTGTGTTACTATCAATTGTCGTGTTTGTTAGATGGGTATGTCACCCTGTGAACCGCCAGGGCTATTTTAAGGTTGGGTTTTTACTTGTAGATGGTTGCTACCTCATTGAACAACATGTGGAAGAACTTGCCACATGCTTTCCAGAGCATTTGAATGAAAGGTCTTTACATTGGGTACAACCACTACACCACAGCAGGAATTGAACCACACACCTTAGAACTTTACAACCAAGGTTACAAACACTACATCAAGGGAGGGATCACAAACAACACACCCACCAGATATGCAACCACTACCTGACAGGGGGGATCAAACCACATACCTTGGAACTTTACAACCAAGGGTGTCAACCTTAGTCCATTAATGTGTAGAAGGAAGGATGTCAACCTTAGTCCATTAATGTGTAGAAGGAAGGATGTCAACCTTAGTCCATTAATGTGTAGGGGGGGATGTCAACCTTAGTCCATTAATGTGTAGGGGGGGATGTCAACCTTAGTCCATTAATGTGTAGGGGGGAGGATGTCAACCTTAGTCCATTAATGTGTAGGGGGGGATGTCAACCTTAGTCCATTAATGTGTAGGGGGGAGGATGTCAACCTTAGTCCATTAATGTGTAGGGGGGAGGATGTCCACCTTAGTCCATTAATGTGTAGGGGGGAGGATGTCCACCTTAGTCCATTAATGTGTAGGGAGGAGGATGTCAACCTTAATCCATTAATGTGTAGGGGGGGAGGATGTCAACCTTAGTCCATTAATGTGTAGGGGGGGAGGATGTCAACCTTAGTCCATTAATGTGTAGGGGGAGGATGTCAACCTTAGTCCATTAATGTGTAGGGGGGAGGATGTCAACCTTAGTCCATTAATGTGTAGGGGGGAGGATGTCAACCTTAGTCCATTAATGTGTAGGGGGGAGGATGTCAACCTTAATCCATTAATGTGTAGGGAGGAGGATGTCCACCTTAGTCCATTAATGTGTAGGGGGGAGGATGTCAACCTTAGTCCATGAATGTGTAGGGGGGAGGATGTCCACCTTAATCTATTAATGTGTAGGGGGGAGGATGTCAACCTTAGTCCATTAATGTGTAGGGGGGAGGATGTCCACCTTAGTCCATTAATGTGTAGGGGGGAGGATGTCCACCTTAATCTATTAATGTGTAGGGGGGAGGATGTCAACCTTAGTCCATTAATGTGTAGGGGGAGGATGTCAACTTTTTTTCTTCATTGTGTACTAGGCAGGGTGTCAAACATTTTGCATTATCGTGTTGGGGGCAGGGTGTCAACCTTTGTCCTTTAATATGTATATGGCAGAATGTCAGTCTTTTCATTGAACTGTGTAGGAGGCAAAGTGACAAATTTGTTCTTCACTATTTAATAGGCAATGCGTCAATTTTTCTCCTTTATTGTGTAAGAGACAAGGTGTCCTTCATTGTGTGAGAGGCAAGGTGACAAACTTTGTCCTTCATTGTGTAAGAGAAAAGGTGTCCAGCTTTCTCCTTTATTGTGTAAGAGACAAGGTGTCCTTCATTGTGTGAGAGGCAAGGTGACAAACTTTGTCCTTCATTGTGTAAGAGAAAAGGTGTCCAGCTTTCTCCTTCATTGTGTAAGAGACAAGGTGTCAAGCTTTCTCCTTCATTGTGTAAGAGACAAGGTGTCCAGCTTTCTCCTTCATTGTATAAGAGACAAGGTGTCAAACTTTGTCCTTCATTGTATAAGAGACAAGGTGTCAAACTTTGTCCTTCATTGTGTAAGAGACAAGGTGTCAAGCTTTCTCCTTCATTGTGTAAGAGACAAGGTGTCAAACTTTGTCCTTCATTGTGTAAGAGGCAAAGTGTCCTTCATTGTGTAAGAGACAAGATGTCCAGCTTTCTCCTTCATTGTGTAAGAGACAAGGTGTCAAGCTTTCTCCTTCATTGTGTCAGAGACAAGGTGTCAAACTTTGTCCTTCATTGTGTAAGAGGTAAAGTGTCCTTCATTGTGTAAGAGACAAGGTGTCCAGCTTTCTCCTTCATTGTGTAAGAGACAAGGTGTCAAGCTTTCTCCTTCATTGTGTAAGAGACAAGGTGACAAACTTTGTCCTTCATTGTGTAAGAGACAAGGTGTCAAACTTTCTCCTTCATTGTATAAGAGACAAGGTGTCAAACTTTGTCCTTCATTGTGTAAGAGGCAAAGTGTCCTTCATTGTGTAAGAGACAAGGTGTCCAGCTTTCTCCTTCATTGTGTAAGAGACAAGGTGTCAAGCTTTCTCCTTCATTGTGTAAGAGACAAGGTGTCAAACTTTGTCCTTCATTGTGTAAGAGGCAAAGTGTCCTTCATTGTGTAAGAGACAAGGTGTCCAGCTTTCTCCTTCATTGTGTAAGAGACAAGGTGTCAAGCTTTCTCCTTCATTGTATAAGAGACAAGGTGTCAAACTTTGTCCTTCATTGTGTAAGAGACAAGGTGACAAGCTTTCTCCTTCATTGTGTAAGAGACAAGGTGTCAAACTTTGTCCTTCATTGTGTAAGAGACAAGGTGTCAAGCTTTCTCCTTCATTGTGTAAGAGACAAGGTGTCCAGCTTTCTCCTTCATTGTATAAGAGACAAGGTGTCAAACTTTGTCCTTCATTGTGTAAGAGGCAAAGTGTCCTTCATTGTGTGAGAGACAAGGTGTCAAACTTTGTCCTTCATTGTGTAAGAGACAAGGTGTCAAACTTTGTCCTTCATTGTGTAAGAGACAAGGTGTCAAACTTTGTCCTTCATTGTGTAAGAGACAAGGTGTCAAACTTTGTCCTTCATTGTGTAAGAGACAAGGTGTCAAACTTTGTCCTTCATTGAGTGGGAAAGATGATATGAACTTTTTTCCTTTATTGTTTTCTGTTTTTGGTTAATTTTTTAATAGCACTAAACATTAAAAAATGGAAATCTGTTCTTTCTCTCCTTCTTTCTTGTCATAAAGCCTTAGTATCTACTTTGTTACATGTATGATCAGGTGTTGTAGGTTTTGTAAGAAATAACTAAGATGACTCATTTTAGTTCAATCACTTTTACAAGCTAATTACATCTGTTTAAGTAGCATTCATGATATTTTAATCAGTCTTTCATTACTGAATTCTTTCCCCAGATCATTACCTCAAAGTCTTGATTTAATCTTGATTACACAGGAAAACAGATTCACTTGATTCCATTTCACACATATTTTTTTGTTTTGTTTCTGAAGCGTGTAAAGAGGTACTTAGATATATATAAAGTAATTTTACAACTGCTGTTTTGTCCAGCAAACTTACTACAATTCAACATTGCATATAATAAGGATTTTTTTCTTGTCTGGTATTGTAACTTATATCTGGAAACAAGTTCTTTTAAATATGTGCTGATACTGAGGTGTTAGAATATTAGATGATGAATTATTTGGTACAAATTAGAGGTTGTCACAAAATGTCACTGTTATACCATAGTCCTCTGGATCTGGATATTTTTTCCTGAAATATAGAACATTTCTTACGGAGAAATGATGTTTGGAATAAGAAAAGTAATTGAGAACATTAACAAGTTCATTGTTTTGATAGAGGAGGTTCAGTGGACATGTTCTATGTTTTATTGAATAAAAAAATATTGAGATTTATGTACTTGATTGATAGGGCTAGGCCAATGAGTACTTAGGTAAAAGTATGTCAGGCACTGTTGGTTCCAATTCCAAATTGTCTGCTGCATTAAGCTGCTCCACCATTAACTGTTAACGACTAAAGGAATTCATGCTGAGAGGTTGCATGTCATACCTGTAAAACATTGAGAAGAGCCGGAGTTGGTCTACAGTTATTTCCGTAGCCCTCCGCAGGAACATCATTCCTGGCTGATTAGTGTACAGTAGGGTGCCTTTGTTTAAACTTCATAATCCTTTTGTTCTTCAACATCTTTAATGTAGAAAAATTGATATTGTCAATAATGTTACGTTCAGGTATTCCTTTTGATGAGACATATGACAATGCTGATGGCGGTATTTGTCTTTGATAGTTAATTAATTCCTCAAAATATGGACGGGGAATCAGGTATCTGACAGGGGCCATATTACTTCCTGTGAAGCCCTGAGGAAGTATGACGACCCTGTAATTAGGAGTGCTTGCTTGTTAAGTAGAATGACAGCGGAGTCTTGCATCCAAATGTTTATTACTGTAATTACTCCCAACCATTACCCAGGCAATCACAAGCTTTTCTTTTGTCTTAGCCAATCAGCAAATGCCTTCATCTCCTTCCAACCAATCATTATTCTTCACTGTCTGATCGCATCTGTCATTTCCTGCAGTCGGGAAGAGGAGTTGATTATCTCTAAAATTTCAAATTGTTTGTGTATAATTGACAGTTGAAAGACCTTTTAAGACCTTTCATACCGGGTCAAAAAGCTATTCACTGGAAAATAGAAAATTTCCGTCTTTAAAATCACACAGGATGAGAAAATAAAATTGTGATTGAGTTTGAAATAGACTGAAAGTGGAGTTTCATTATAGACAAAGGAAGTTTGTTATACTCACAGCAGTATGTCTGTAATTAGGATGAAAAAAACATTTTGTATCCTATTAATGGTTTTCCCCTATTTATATTTTTCAGGTACTGCTGTTCAGTGTTGCCATGGCTATTTATCTTTACCTCTACAAGTAAGTCCAGACTGGGTTTTCCCAAAGACCCTTAAATTTGTGAAATGTAAGAGTCCTTGAACTCATATCATATATGAAATAGTGTTAAACTACTAAGTATGGAGGATGTTTGCCGATTTCAGGAGTCAGAATGAAGGTTTGGAGCATTTTGGAAAAGTTTGCTTTAGATTGTGTTCACAGTAAAGTATCAGTCATCAAGGCTAACAACCTACTCCTATAGGTTGTATCATTCACCAGTGGCTGACATCCTACTCCTGTAGGTTGTATCATTCACCAGTGGCTGACATCCTACTCCTGTAGGTTGTATCATTCACCAGTGGCTGACATCCTACTCCTGTAGGTTGTATCATTCACCAGTGGCTGACATCCTACTCCTGTAGGTTGTATCATACATCAGTGGCTGACATCCTACTCCTGTAGGTTGTATCATTCACCAGTGGCTGACATCCTACTCCTGTAGGTTGTATCATTCACCAGTGGCTGACATCCTACTCCTGTAGGTTGTATCATTCACCAGTGGCTGACATCCTACTCCTGTAGGTTGTATCATCCACCAGTGGCTGACATCCTACTACTGTAGGTTGTATCATTCATCATTGGCTGACATCCTACTCCTGTAGGTTGTATCATCCACCAGTGGCTGACATCCTACTCCTGTAGGTTGTATCATTCATCAGTGGCTGACATCCTACTCCTGTAGGTTGTATCATCCACCAGTGGCTGACATCCTACTACTGTAGGTTGTATCATTCATCATTGGCTGACATCCTACTCCTGTAGGTTGTATCATTCATCAGTGGCTGACATCCTACTCCTGTAGGTTGTATCATTCATCATTGGCTGACATCCTACTACTGTAGGTTGTATCATTCATCAGTGGCTGACATCCTACTCCTATAGGTTGTATCATTCACCAGTGGCTGACATCCTACTTCTGTAGGTTGTATCATCCACCAGTGGCTGACATCCTACTACTGTAGGTTGTATCATTCATCATTGGCTGACATCCTACTCCTGTAGGTTGTGTCATTCATCAGTGGGTGACATCCTACTCCTGTAGGTTGTATCATACATCAGTGGCTGACATCCTACTACTGTAGTTTGTATCATTCATCATTGGCTGACATCCTACTCCTGTAGGTTGTGTCATTCATCAGTGGGTGACATTCTACTCCTGTAGGTTGTATCATACATCAGTGGCTGACATCCTACTACTGTAGGTTGTATCATTCATCATTGGCTGACATCCTACTCCTGTAGGTTGTATCATACATCAGTGGCTGACATCCTACTACTGTAGGTTGTATCATTCATCATTGGCTGACATCCTACTACTGTAGGTTGTATCATTCATCAGTGGCTGACATCCTACTCCTGTAGGTTGTAACATTAATCAGTGGCTGACATCCTACTCCTGTAGGTTGTATCATTCATCATTGGCAGACATCCTACTACTGTAGGTTGTATCATTCATCAGTGGCTGACATCCTACTCTAGTAGGTTGTGTCATTCATCAGTGGGTGACATCCTACTACTGTAGGTTGTACCATACATCAGTGGCTGATGTATCATTCATCAGTGGGTGACATCCTACTCCTGTAGGTTGTATCATTCATCATTGGCTGACATCCTACTACTGTAGGTTGTATCATTCATCATTGGCTGACATCCTACTACTGTAGGTTGTATCATTCATCATTGGCTGACATCCTACTACTGTAGGTTGTATCATTCATCATTGGCTGACATCCTACTACTGTAGGTTGTATCATTCATGATTGGCTGACATCCTACTCCTATAGGTTGTACCATACATCAGTGGGTGACATCCTACTCCTGTAGGTTGTGTCATTCATCATTGGCAGACATCCTACTTCAGTAGGTTGTGCCCATCATTAGTTGCTGACATCTTCAAAATGTTTCCATGGTGGTCAATTTTTATCTACCTAAAACACACCTTATAATCTTGTTTTAGATTTTTAATAATTTTCAGACATATTAATGATTTTGATAAAAATTTAAACAATCAAGGTGTGAAGACAACTGAAGTGAATTATTGTGAAATTTTACTTTTCATGCCAAGAATGATAGTCTTACTTAACAAACCAACAGAGGTTGAAATTCTGTCATACACTTGTTGTTAAATGGTTTAGATGAGTTCAAACATAGGGCACGTAGTTTGGATTTATTTGAGAATATTTTCTGTTTAAAAGCTAGACAACTCTGTGTCCAGTTGGGTCTGACTATTGAGACTGTATAAATGATAGACAGCTCTGTGTCCAGTTGGGTCTGACTATTGAGACTGTATAAATGATAGACAGCTCTGTGTCCAGTTGGGTCTGTGTCCAGTTGGGTCTGACTATTGAGACTGTATAAATGATAGACAACTCTGTGTCCAGTTGGGTCTGACTATTGAGACTGTATAAATGATAGACAACTCTGTCCAGTTGGGTCTGACTATTGAGACTATATAAATGATAGACAACTCTGTGTCCAGTTGGGTCTGACTATTGAGACTATATAAATGATAGACAGCTCTGTGTCCAGTTGGGTCTGACTATTGAGACTGTATAAATGATAGACAACTCTGTGTCCAGTTGGGTCTGACTGTTGAGACTGTATAAATGATAGACAACTCTGTGTCCAGTTGGGTCTGACTATTGAGACTGTATAAATGATAGACAACTCTGTGTCCAGTTGGGTCTGACTATTGAGAATATTTTCTGTATAAAAGATAGACAACTCTGTGTCCAGTTGGGTCTGACTATTGAGACTGTATAAATGATAGACAGCTCTGTGTCCAGTTGGGTCTGACTATTGAGACTGTATAAATGATAGACAACTCTGTGTCCAGTTGGGTCTGACTGTTGAGACTGTATAAATGACTTTACGATATATAATCATGCGTAATTTAGCTGTATAGTGACCATTAGACAGGCTGTAGTGTAAATCACGTTTGATTAATCTCAGAATTCTTCCACCCTAGATACAGATGATGACTTACCTTGGCTCCAGTCATTGTAGAATAAATTCACCTATAAAGTTATCAAGAGTGTACAGAACTTAAAAACAAATGGATTTATATGATCAGCCTCTGTGATACATTACTGTTCAAATATTCGTTTCAAAAGTTACTCTCCCATTGATTAAGTAAATATAAGATATGAATTGATTGTTTGCACTATAAATTATGACAGGTGATTGGCAATTTGTTTACATGGGTGTATTGTTACAGATGTCTAGGAATCCTAGAACTCTGCTCAAGTGTATGTACATTATCTAAAAGTGCTTTTGTCATCCACAGAGGATGTGATTATTAAATAATAGTGTTATCAATGTAGTCAATCTATTGTCTTATAGAGAAGTTCTACCCTTGTGGGAAATACGGTACAGAGTAAACTGTGTTGATGGACTTCACTGGCTATCAAATTCATGATTTAATGAAAAAAGTAATTACTAGTGTGGGTGATATTGTCTTCTGTCCTGAAGGATGAAACATAATCCCCGTGGTACAGACAGGATCCATAGGAAAGGTGGGGAATTTTTAATTAGAGGAAATTTATGGGTTGCTGTATACTGAGGGACCTCTTTGAGCTATAGATGCCAAGACATGTGTAATGGATAGGGTTTTCATGCCACACCTTATGGGCAGTTAAGGAATTCCAGGTATACTGTCCGTCTACAGGTCCACGGGTTGGACAGTACAAGAATTTAATTACAGGGTGGGCAAATGTCAAAGGACTTTATCACAACTCTAAGGAAAGAGAGCGGAAACGTTCTATATATGAAGCCTATATACAGAATACTGATGAGTGGAAAGTTAGAATCAGAAACAGGTTTATCAAATAACTGTTTAGACACAAACATGGCCATATTAACTAATTCCAGTGTTGTCAGAGTTTGTGCTGTCACTACATAAACAAACGACACATGAGGCTTCAGACCAGTATTTTCCATTCCGCTCACACAGCTAAGTTGCTGGGGAAAAGAAAGTGAAAATGGCCTGTGAAGTTTGTTGGTAGTCAGTAGGTTTACAGTAAGATTAAACAACTTGGTAGGAGGGATGTCATTATACTCTTCTATATGGTACTCTATATTATAACAGATAACTATTACCATTTGCATCATCTAAAAATATCAGTTTTAATTATGGAAAATTTCTAGGAAGTGGTAGCCACCAAATATTTTCTCGGCCAAACTTCATACACAAAATCAGTACCAATACCATCATATTTGTTGTAGGATTGTGATTTAATTCTCATTCAGGGTTGGTTTTATTGTTCTTTTTAAAAGTGCCCTTTGAATAATTTCTAGAATAAAATATTTGTACTAAATAAGAAATATATGTACTATAAAATGGGTGTTAACTGGTAACTTGGATTGCAGTTCTAAATAATGAAAATAACACAAGATTTTTTTATTTTTCATTTTGTTCCTTAAAAGTTTTTATTGAATTTCTTCAGAAGAATCTTCCAAGTTTCTGTCTAAGTAGTTGGATAATTTTCTTCAGACCAATCTAGATAAGAAAGTTTGAGCAAATTGTGTATGTGAATCTCTCGTAGTCCCTTTCTCTTGTGATAATCATACAAACATTGAACTTGATCATCAATCAAGCTGGGATCCTTGTCATAAAGCCACTTATTGAATCATGTGTGTGGATTTCCTACACGTAAGGCCATCTTGCTATTCCCAGGGTCCCTAGTTTGGCAGTGTGGCTTGGCGTTGATTGTATTTCCGCACAAGAAGATAGGCTGTCTTCATTGGGCCCTGATAAAACTGTCACTTTTCTCTGCGTTTGGCATCGGTCTTGAGGATTAAAAACTTATCTTTAATTCCCTAGCGCAGTCTCCTAGTGGAAAGAGTTACGATGACTCTGATACTACCTACTTAGGTCGGTATAAGGTTAGGGTCTCGTGAAAGCTGCAGTCACATCATACTATCAATAAACACAATAACTTTGTTCAAAATCCATCAGCTCTTTTTTTTTCAATTCACCACAA